CCTAGGGCCCCAGAAAACACAATTGTTAAGAAGCAGTCACTTCAATGAGGCTCTAGGCCTTGACACTCCTTTTTTTTTTTGTTCCAATCGTGGGCCTGAACTCTGGGCCTGGGCGCTGTCCCTCAGCTCTCCACCTCAAGGCTAGTGCTCTACCACTTGAGCCACAGCGCCACTTCCAGTTTTTTTTTTTTTTTTTTTTCTGCTTATGTGGTGCCGAGGAATGGAACCCAGGGCCTCATGCATGCAAGGCAAGCGCTCTACCACTGAGCCACCTTCCCAGCCCAGCCTTGACACTCTTTAGCTCTTACAGCTACATTATTTTTCTTTCTTTTGTGCTGGTCCTGGGGACTAGAAGCTGTCACTGAGCTTTTTGGATCAAAGCTAATGCTCTACTACTTGAGGTGCAGCTCCACTTCTGGCTTTCTTGGTAGTTAATTGAGATTAGAGTCTCTTGGACTTTCCTGCTTGCTGGCTTTGAGTGGTGATCCTCAGATTTCAGTCTCTTGAGTAGCTAGGATTACAGGTGTGACCCACCAGCTCTTGGCTAATGTGTTTCAATTCTGAGGTAAGGTGAGTGAAGCTGGAGTTGTCTCACTGTTGCTGGACAGGGATGCCATTCTACAGCCACAGAATTGAGACAGAAAGGAATGGGCTGGATTTCCATGTGTCTGGAATTGTGAGTGGTACCCTGGGGATTGTCTTGTGTTTGTCATATGGACCTGAAAAAAAAATTCTTCTCAGGAAAAGGCAGTGACAGATAAACAGAGAAACAGAGGCATATGACAGAACTCCTTTACCCTGGTTCTGAGTGGGCTTCCAGTTCTCCTTCCATGGCCCCCCTAGCCAAATTCTGGCTCCTGAATTCTCAGACAGCCTTTATCTTTTATAATCAATGTCTTCTTTCTACTTAAGCTAGCTTCTTTAAGCTTCTGTTGTTAGATACTTCAAGTGTTCTCTCTCTCCCTCTATATGTATATATATATTCTCTCTCTTATATATATGCATACATCAGTGGAGTCGTTCTGTCCTTTTGAACAATTCCCTCCTCTAGTGTCGCGGTACAAGCTATCTTTCATCTCACAGCCTCGTCGGTAGTTGTGTGCTTTATCATTTGCTGTTTCATAAATCACAGTTCACAAATCTCTCTGCCACTCTCTTCGCCCCCTTTCACACTTCCATTTCCCTTTTTCTTTCCTGCATTTTCAAATCTAAAAAGTCTTGGAGTATCATTTAGATATGCCTGAGGTTTATGATCAGATAATGGCTTCATTAGCCCCAATCTCTCAGGATCTGTGATGCAGAGGGATAGAAAACAAAGGAGCTGCAAAACAAAACGGTTTTTCAGATCTAGCACAACAGCCTGCATGATTCTGGAGGCCACCTGAGGGAAAAGGCCACCCCCTGCCTCAGGGACCCTCAGCAATTTCCAATGCCAGCTATACCCAAGCTCTTCTTATTAAACAGCTTACTCTGTCGCCTCTGTGAAGAGCTCTCCACTTTCACTGGGAAATCACAAATCTGCCATCTCCAGAGAGACACCCCCACCTGCTGACAAGGCCATGGCCTAGGAAATGGGTAGAGAAGCTGGACTGCTTGGAGGCCTTGCAGGGACTCCTCAAGAAAGACAGCCAAGCCTTCTACCAGCTAGCTGGCAACTGGGACGCCACCATCCCAGTTTTACCCAACAGCAGTACTAAAAATAATCTGTCACTTCACCACAGAATGCTTGAGGTGTTCACAGACGCTCTGAGGTACAGGACAAATACTGAAATACAGGCTGCTGTATTTCCAATGATGTGCAGGCTAATGACGTCAAGGAGGATGTGGAGATGTGAATGTGAAGAGTGTCCAGGAAGACAAACACGCACGCTCAGGTTATTAGACTAATGGCTCGGCCTGTCATTCAGTAATGATTTATTTGTGTCTTCGAAGGGTAATTAGGATGTGGTGTTGCTTCTTCCTGCTGCCATTTGGTAATTATGCTTCCTGGATGTGTTATTTGTATTGCAATAAGCCTTGTTCAGATTTCTGTAACCCTTTACTAGACTACCAATCTTCGTGTGTATGTGTGTGTGCTGGTCCTGGGGCTTGAACTCAGTGCCTGGGTACTATCCCTTAGCTTTTTTTTTTGCTCAAGGCAAGCACTCTACCACTTGAGCCACTTGTGATTTTTGGTGGCTGATTGGAGATAAGAGTCTCCTGGACATTCCTGCCCAGGCTGGCTTCCAACCTTGATCCTCAGGTCTTACACCTTCTGAGAAGCTAGGATTACAACCACTGGTGCCTGGCCTAGATTACCAATCTCTAACGGCAATGATGTCTTTTAATGTCAATATCTCTAGAACCTAACAAGTCCAGCAATTTAGAAAAAATCTAGTAAAATATATATTAGGTAAATGAATGAATGACTGAATAATGGAGCAAAGAGGAAATATTGAACTTTACAAGGAAAATTCGGGGACATTTTGCAAAGGACCTAATACTTGATCTAAACCTTGAAGGAGTCAAAGGAGTTTAGGGTGAGTAAAACAGAAAGGTAGAGAATCCAAAGAAATAGAAAGTTGGAGGTATTTGAAATTGCCATCAAGCGAAGTAAAAGCAGTTCAGGGTGAGATGTGGGCAAGAGAAAGGGAATGAAGCTGGAGAGGTGGCAGGATCCAGGGGAATCTAAAGAATGGATTTTATTATACAAGTGCTGGGGAATCATAGTACATTTTTTTTAACCACTGGGAAAAGGAAGGCAATAACATTTTTCTCTGGAAAGTTTTCTTTGGTGGCAATGTGACAGGTAATTGATAGCAGAGATGGAGATGGGTTGAGGTAGGACTACACGGATCAGTTAGGCAGCCCTTCCAGTTAGTAATCTGAGTGAGGGATGATGAAGGCCTGAGCTATTTTTGAAAGGTCTATGTGAGTGGTCCTCCTCCTGCTGTCAGTTTTTGCCAGTCATCCACACATCATATCCTCCTTCAGGAACAGTGCCTGGAGATGCTAAGTCAGAGAAAAATGCCAAATAGGAGCTTTTTATGCACATTTATCTCAGTAGGGTCACTCTGAGAGGCAGAATGGTATTTTCCAGAAGGTCCATAGCTGGAATGCTTCTTCACCCATGAATGAATTAAATGTGTTTTTCAGATCCTTGGACAACTTCCTTTCCCTCAGCAGTTAGTTGGTCTACCTGTCACCTTGTACTTTTTCAGCAAGAAAGAAAAAAAGGAAGAGACAAGAAAAGTGGAGAAACAAAAGCTGACAAAGGAACAAGGACTGTGGTAAGGGCCCTTTCTTTATCTTATTCACAAATAATAAAGAATGAAAGCCATTCAAAGAAGAACATGAGTGAATTATCTTATAGCCTATTACTAGCAGTAAAATTTTACAAAAGAAGCTGGATGCCAGTGGCTCACGCCTATAATATTAGCTACTCAGGAGTTTGAGAGCTGAAGCTCATGGTTTGAAACCAGCTTAAGCAGGAAAAGTCCATGAGACTTTTGTCTTCAATGAACCACTCAGAAGCTCAAAGTGGAGCTGTGGCTCCAGTGGTAGAGCATTAGCCTTGAGCACAAACATTCAGGGACAATACCTAGGTCCTGAGTTCAAGTACTCCCCAAGTTTACAAACAATGGAAAATGTACCTGTACATCTGCTTGATGTACTTCTGGAAGAAGATAAGCCCTTCCGTCATTCTCTAGGACATACCTGATGACAGATAGGAGGACTAAACTTCTTGCCTTAGGACAGCAGTTCTCAATCCAGACTATATACCAAAATTAACTGAAGATTAAGAAGATATTATAGCCCAAGATATTCTGATTTGATTGGTTCGGGTATGGTTTGGGAATTGGTCCTTTTCTAGATCCCTTGGGTGCAGTGACCACACAGATAGTCTAGGAATTATTGCCATGCACTCAGGGTTGGCAACCTTTTTCTGTAAGGGTCAGAGAAGTAAATATTCTTTTGGTTTTTGTTGGCTGTGCAATCTCCATTACAATTTACTCTGCTGTTGTACTGTGAATGTAGCTATAGACAATATGTAAATGAGTGAGTGAGTGGAACTATGTCCAAAATATAGTTTATAAAAATAGGCAGTGGTTGAATTTGGCTCATGAGCCATAGTTTATTGTCTCCTGCAGACTCCAAAGGATGACTGGATTGACTAGGTGGCTGAACACAAAGTATGGAGCAAGTAGGAAAAATACTCTGGTTTAAAAAAGTCATTTGGCAGAAGATGCTCTAGATTATTGTTCTAAGTAAAATGAAATATGTTTCTGAGTTCATGGAATGCTTCTGGTGAAGTAAATTTGTGAAGACAGCCATCTATTCATAAATGACATTGTAGGGCCAATTCCACCCTCACAATCTACTAACAAAAATGTGGACTTAACAGTCATTCTTCAATATAAATTTGCCTTAATTTATGGCAAAGCTGACGGGTTAGATCTGGGATGTGAAAGGAAAAGAAAAGAAAAGCAGACTTAATTTGGATGAAACGATTTGGTTTGATGTCTTAGAGGACTTGAAGAAAAAAACTAATAAGGTATAAAGAAAAGAAATCACTAACTTGCAATAATGAAAAACAAACAAACAAAAAAAGAAAGGCACTTAACCTTAGAACTCAAATGAGGAGAGAGAAAGTATCCAAATGGAATAGAATCTTTGTGGTGTCAGGGAGGTGAGCTTGTAGATGGATGTATCTTATGTGTTCTGCTATGGCCTTGACTAGAATTCAGCCACAATACTGTGTTTTGCTTTTTTAAAATGTTATTTTGTTCTTATTTCAACATGGTGACCCAGAATTAATTCATACTATCATTTTGTGCTAGAGAAATGCAGGGATGGCAAAGACACAGAAGAAAATTGAACATCTGCCTAACCATGAAGTTTCTCTGCTATCATTTCTGGCCTTGTTCTTCTCTGTGGAAGAATAATCAGATGACAGATGACCACAGATTATGCTCCTTACAATTCAACCAGATGAGCTATGAGTGTTAGGGTATACTCACCTTTATCCTATCAATGTTGGCTTCCATCTTAAGCTGTTCTACCAGCTTCCTGGCTTGTGCTATGCTGGCGGTGTTGTTGCTGGCCATTGGAGTGCTCGAGGGGGTTTTTCAGACACTCTAGAAAAGAAAACAAATAGAATACTGTCAGGGAATTCATGAGCTGCCAAATGTACAAGTTAGTTCTTTGTGACTGGAGGATTTTAAAACAGTTTTTTTTTTTTTAATCAACCCATACATCTCAGTCAATACTATATCTGTTTAGCAGGTAGACTAGAAGATTAAATTTGCTTTTCCGATTATTTTCCCACCATCTTCTTTGGGGTTGGGGGAGGCCGAGGAAGGTAGAAATAAATGGAGGAAGGGAGAGAGATAGAATGTGCACAAATGTTCCCCAAATTAGGTAGAATAATATGCTCTGCTACATTAAAGAAACAAGACACAAATTACCTTAATTTATAAGATAAGTTTAAAATGGTAGCCGTGACAGTGTGCATTATTACAGTTGTACTTGCTGGAGTTTATTGGGTGCTATTATTGTCAGATACTGTGTTAGTCATACTCACAGGATGAGAAGGGAAAGGTAAACCAAGGGATCAATACTAAAATGTATCTGAGGCTTTGGATGAAAAGGTTGTTTTTTCAGTATTGCTTAACCCAGCATTATTGTAATTTCTCTTCATTCTATTTGAAATGTGATTCAATTCACAATTCTTTGTTTGCATTGCTTTAGGAACTCATCTGTCATGTCAAGGTGGAGGGACTGCTTTGTATAAATTGACAAGTACATTAATTACTTGTATTTTTCCTAAACAAGTATAAAAGACCCTTTTTTCTCAACAAGGAAATACAGCATACATCTTTTTTGCCAGCCTCATGGAGTGCCAACCTTGCCTGGTCCCAGCAGGTCTACTAAATAAACCTACCCCTTACCTGAAAAAAAAAAAAGAAATATGGCAAGTGGAATTCTGTACCTAGGTAGATCACGAGGGTTTCTTTGTTCTAATTGCCAGACTTCCCCTACTTTCAAATGTTGTCTCAATTTTTATTTCTCTTCTAAACCTCTTTTTGACCCATTGTCTCATTTTATTCTTCATATGCATCTTGAAACTATCCTATTTTATTTTCAGTGATGTGTTCTCCCTCCAATTTGGAGTAGGTCTTACTCTATGTTAAGGTGTCATGTACAATTTCAGGGACATTTGTGTTAACTATGGCCCTGCAAGTCACAAACACTCATACTGAGGCAATGTCTGAGAGCTTCAAATTAACTAGAGTGTATGAACCAAGAAATGAGAAGCATTAAATACTGCCTTGGCCAACACTAGTGACATCATATTCTAAAGACATTGTCTGGAAAGTCATGACTTTAGCTGGCTTTGGGAAATCATTTTATCTAGGGATGGAGCAGGAGTCTAAAAGAAAAAAAAGGGAAGAAGAAAAAGAAAACCTGGAGAAGAAATAATAATCCAAAATAAAGAATATGTAAGTTTTAACTACCCACTAAAATGAAGAAATACTTTTTTGTTTTAATTACCCAAAGAGCAAGTCTATAAATCATCTCATTTCATGCTTATTTCTTGATATATAATTCTTCAAGACAAAAGAAGAAATTACACATAATTCTCTGTACAATCCATCCACCAAGATTGTTACTTTATAATGAAAACTGCAAAATAAGCCACCCAAAAGCATTTGTAGCATAACTCGGAAGAAAATTAGCTGTTCTTTTAACTTTTTTTCAAAGGGTATGGAGACAACAGAGTGAGAAGGAAGAATAAAGGGGTTTTTGAAGGCAGAAAGATCTTCAAACTGTAATTTCATATACATGAAGATCAAAGAAGGACAAAATACAGGTAAAAACAACAAGAAATAAAACATGATTTCATTGGCATGGTGAGAGACCTAATCACTCATTTCCCTAGGAAAATTATACAGCTTAGTAAAACCTCATGGGGCCAAGATAGAGTATGGATGTATCCAGTGAGGATAGCCTAACTATTCCCCTTCATTCTAAGTTGGTAGTATCCATGATCTGTAAGCTCCTGTATACTGTTCTGTAAAGCTAATATTTCTGCCAAATTAGAATGTATTCACCATTGTACAATGTGGATCACAAAATTATTATAGAGACCTCATGTAGGATAAGAGATGTGTGGGAGACTGGCCTTGAATCTAACCCAGATCACATAGTAACCTAGAGCAGGGATTTTACAGTTTGCTTCCCCAACATCCCTCAACTCCCCGTTCTTAAAATTAATAATGACATTATCTTTTCTTTCAGGCAGAGATCACAAACAAGCACCCTGAATCTTACCTGAGTAAACTCTGCTTAAGAAAGAAAGAGAGAGAGACAGAGAGAGAGAGAGAGACTAAGAAAGAAAGAAAGAAAGAAAGAAAGAAAGAAGGAAGGAAGGAAGGAAGGAAGGAAGGAAAAGAAAGAAACCAAATGCTGCAGCTTCCCTTGCAGCTAGATATAGTTGCTTGACTAAATATTGGCCAATTAAAAACAGACATGCCCTCCCTTCCATTCCTCCTGCTGCTGGCCATCATAGACATTCTAGGCTGAGCATGAAGGATTTGTCTCCTAAGTGACTGTTTGCAATCTCCATGGCAGCTGTAGACTGGCCACCTTTTATGTGAGAGAGAAATAGTGTCTGTCTTGCTTATAGCCCCATTATTACTGTCACTGTCCAACTAACCTTCTATTAACTGATTAAATGCCCCATTACCTTCAATAGAATATCTAGGAAAGTCTGTGTCCTGATATATTTTTATGTTCTTGGGAAAAGCTGTTAGGTGTCCTAAGGAGACTGTGATAGTGTTAGTTCTATTGTTTGTGTAACTTACACTACAAATTCCGTGGTCTAAACTTCTTTCATTTTTGGAGATCAGAGAACTGAACCAACTCGTAGAAGGCTAAAATCCAGGTGCAAGCAAGGCTATATTCCTTCTAGAAGTTCCTCCTGTAAGCTGTCCTTTCCTCTAGCTTCTAGAAGCTTCTTCAAAGCTGACAAATGTGAGTGGACTCCTCAACTCATGTCTCTCTGACTTCCTCTGAAGTTACCTCTCTCTCTGACTCTGATTCCTCTTTTGCCTTCTTTCCACTTTTGAGGACCCTGTAATTACACTGGAACTATCTAGATCATCTGGGATAATCTTCCTCTCTTTCGGTCATCTGATTACCAGTCTTAATTCCATTCATATTGACAGGTTCCAGGAACTGGAAAAAATCAACATTAGAGGAGAGAGTTATTCTGCTACCATGGAAAAGAGGCCTCTGCACAGGCGGGGAAGAGAAGTTGGGAGGTGGGAGGTAGGATGAAGAAAGAAGATGGAGGGTGCAGAGGTTTAGAACACTGGACAGACAATACATTTGAAACCTAAATGGATTTAAGAGACAAGACAAATGTAGGCGTTGGGTTTCTGGTGTGAGGCAGATTAATCCACAATGCTCTTGTTTTACCATTCTACCCTGGTAGAATCCTGGGGCACCTTTAGAATCATTTAGTGCATTTCCCACTTCTCATAGCTAACTAAATTCCTATAAAGAAGATTGCAAGAGTAATAGAGCTCTAGACTTATTTTTCTAAAATGTGCTTGCAGTGTTTGGATGACGGGTGAAAAATCAAGTAAAAATAACATTACATCTATTTTAGACTTAGAGTCACCTGGTAGGGAATCTTCATCTTCTGGAAAGTAAAAGAGGAGCCACAAACTGGGACTTGAGGGTAGAATCAATTGATGAAGAAGCAGAGCTAGAGGAAAAGCAATCCTTCCCAGGGCTAGGTCAGGGGGAGGAGCAGAACCCCTGAGGGTAGAGCTGAGCCTATATTTTTGAGTACCTCCTTAAAAGATTTTTTTCTTTTCTTTTCTCTTTTAAAAATTTCAGTCTCTCTCAATACCTTTCCTTTTTAAACTTTCCATTATGCAGAAGTGAACACCACATTTGCTGAATTAGCTCCTATTTTTTCTTCCTTCTTCGACTTTCCCTCTATATCAAATAACATGTGGCTATTATTAGTTATTGAGATTTTACCCCTATCTTTTTAGCCATGAATGTGGTCCAATAGAACTCCTGCCTGAATTCCATTCTGAATGATTTGTTGCTAGGTCTTTTAGGAAATAGGTCGTGATTTTTCTGAAGCTCATTTCCCTGGAAGCTTTTTGCTCATGTTGTGACTTACGCAAAACTTGAAGGTCAATAGAGGAAAACTTACATCTCTAAATGTTAAACACCTGCTGTCCTAAAAGCAAGTGGCTTTGTAAATGTCATAGAAGACCACATACGCAGAGCCATGCTTTCCATTTCTGAAACACCATGTGAGATATATTTCTACTCCTGTTAAGTCGCTTAGCTCAAACTTTATGAAGTCAGCTCTTGCAAAATTAAACAAAGAAAAGACACAACAAAAATGTGGTAAAAGGAAGGGAAAAAGCCATTCTCATGTTCAATTGTGGAAAATTAAAAAGTTATCTGTCTTTCAAGTTTGTGGTATTTGGACAATTCAACACACACACACGCACACACACATACACAGAGCTACTGTGAGAGAAATCCTCTATATCACAAATTCTCTTTTTTCCAATTTTTAATTGTAGTTAAACACATCATAAAGTTTATGATCTTAGCCATTGTGTGTGTGTGTGTGTGTTTGAGAGAGAGAGAGAGAGAGAGAGAGAGAGAGAGAGAGAGAGAGAGAGAGAGTGTATGTATCCTGGAGCTTGAACTCTGGGCCTGAGTGCTGTCCCTTTGCTTTTTGTGTTCAAGGCTAATGCTCCACCACTTGAGCCAGAGCTTTACTTCTACACTTCCAGCTTCTTTTTTTCAGTCCTGAGGATTGAACTCAGAGCCTGAGCACTGTCTCTGAGCTTCTGTTGCTCAAGGTGATGATCTAAGATAGGACAGTGCAAAATTACTTTTTTTTGGGCTCAGAAAGCTATCCTGATCCTGGCAATTGGTGGCAGTTGCCAAGTACTGGAGAATCTGGTGACCAAGGTATGGTGGGGGCATGTGTGTGGTTACGTTTTCTGAATTTGAATCTTAATTATAATGCTGAAGCCTTATTAGTGGACTTATAAAGAGAACCAAAAATTAATAATTATCTGGGCACCAGTGG